CATCTTGAAATCGAAACTGGGGTCAGTTTCATTTCTTCCACTTTACAAGTGGAGTATTCCCACTGGAGGGGGCGTTCCAGTTTAAATCTACCAATGGGAACTGGGAAATGACCACTTCCCAGGCCTAGTGGAACGCAGCATGTGTTGTCTCTGCTGGGCTGTGTTTGTCCCTGGCTTCATGTGAACCTGATCCTGTCCTTCAGGGAGCTGCAGTTCACTTTGTGTTCTTTAGTAAACCTGGCTGCTCCTTGTTTTCTAACCCTGCATCTTGTTTGTGTGTTTGTGTGTGTGTGTGTGTCTGTGTGCACTCACTGCACAACACAGAAATCTTTCAATGTTTCCTCTCAGCACGTGAGGTGGCTCGGAGTCGGGACAGAGAGCGGGCCAGCAGCAGCACCGGACTGGGCTCAGGACCTGCATCCCGAGGAGGAGGAGGAGGAGGAGCAGGAGGAGGAGAGGCGGACCCCGTTCTGTCTCAGGACGGGAGGAGGGGCAGCTCAGGTCTCCCTGAGGGTCAGGATCTGTACACTGCAGCCTGTAACTCTGTGATCCACCGCTGTGCCCTGCTGCTGCTGGGGGTCAGCCCTGTGCTGGGGGAGCTGAGCAAACAGAACCAGGAGGACGGGTCCACTCAGTCTGCCTCAGGAACACAGGAGAGTCTGAGCTTCATGACCAGGTCAGACCAGAACCCAGCTGAGCATCACACTGAACCACCTGCTCAGGTGTGCAGGGACTGAGAGCAGCAGCTCAGGCGCCACACACCAGACTAATTTAATTTAAGATTTTAAAATCTGGTTTTATTACATATAAATGATGTAAAATCATGTTTTTATCTCTATGCCATGTTATAAAGTCATTCCCTCGTCAGAAACATCCCAGACTGTTGCTTTGACTCATTCCTGCATGTTGGAGATGTGCAGAGCTCTATAAAATAACAAAATAAAATTACATTGACTCTGGTCAAARTAAATGTCACTGATGAGGAAACTACTCAAATAAAAGTCATGAAACTGTTCACAAAAATTGGGAAAGTAAAAGTAAAAGTAATTTACACACTCTCTAATAAACAAACTGTTGAATTTACTGAACCAAACTGGTTCCACTAAGTCAGGTTGAGTAAAATGAACAATAAACGTTTATTCTTTGCTCAGTGGAGCCAGCTGACTTTGTTGAGTGAATTCAACTCTTCATTTTTACAGCAGAAACATCTTTAACGATGACTTCAGATAGATTTAATTTGTAACAAGTAACTAGGTGTTACATTTTAAACTAAAGAAGTAAACGCATCATTTTCAGCTTTAAAATGTAACAAAATAAAAGTAGCTATTTAAAAAAATAATTGCTAAAATTACAAGTCCTCAAAAAACTACTGAAGTACTGTAACAAAGTAAATGTACTTAGTTACTATAAACCTCTGGATATGTGGAGCTTGCTGGTACAAAGCTCCGCCCATTTACACAAAGATCCTCCCCTGGAGCTCAGTCTGCAGCCGAGCTCCCGCCCCACAGAGCGGCGTTTGAAGATGAGCTGAAGTGGGAGTGTCAGAAATGGTAGGAGGTTTTTAAAGAGACAGAGGCCAGTTTCAAGGTGTTCAGATAGACTCTGATGGAAAGTGACTTTTATTTATGATTTAACAGGTTTTTATAACGACTGAAGGGAACAGAGTCACTGGATCGTGCTTTATACCAGTGGTTCCCAAACTTTTTATCTTCTGACCCACAAAATATCCATGGCAAAAACTTGTGACCCCAAATATTACTG